CCAAATCTCTTGAGTGTCATTACTGTTCTAAAAATCCCTGCCAGAACTGTCACTTCTCCCTAAATCCTCTGGTGAAAAGTCCTGCTGGGAAGGCTTCTGGTAGAGATGGTGAGGTGTCCCATAAGCATATTTTTGAGTATTACTACTGGTCAGAACAGAATGTTTTCCTTGTGCTCCATTATTAGGGTGTTTCAAAGCCTCTCTGGCACAGAGCATCTTACAGAGAATTCCAGCTGCACAGCTTGGGCTTCCGACCCGCAGGTTTCTCCCCCAGGAGAACCTCCTCACCTTTCCTGACCTGGGGTTCACATTGGTAGCTCCGTGTAGGTGGTGGTGCTGCTGGCTCAGCCTGGTCCGGTGTTCACTGACCTCACTGTGTTCCTCCTCCTCTGAATCCAGGTCTCCTGCCTGTGCCCCTCTGCCCCTCAGGCTCCATCCCTCCTGTGGCTCAGGTGCCCCAAGTCACCCTTGGTAGCATCACCTGAGGACTCCTTTCCAGCTCCTCCCAAAGCTGTCACCGCGCATTTTCGTGTGCTAGTGCACTGCACTGCGCAAATTCTCAAGAAAGATCATTTAATAAATTACACTCAGAAATGAGCGCGGTGCGTAACGCGAGTAAAACTCATCATTTGCGCCTTGACGCGCGCCTGGGCCCCGGGGTTCCCTGCACCCAGCGGTGAACACAGAGCTCCTTTCCTGGGTTCCCGCAGGGAGGCTGCGGAGGCACAACTTACAGCTGCAGTGTCAAAGTGCGGATTTTCGTTAGGTTAGCGCGGCAGGGGCCTCAGTACCGCCTGCAACACCCTGTTAGATCCCCACTATGCGCATGGAAAGGAAAGAGAACCGCGTCCAGCAGGACACAGAAACTGTAACCCCGGAGGCGGCGCCCCCAGGCCCTCCGCGTCCCTCCCGCCTTCCGAATGGCGACCGCGACCCCGCGCCCCACGCGGCTGTGGCGGCTGCAGCAGGGGAGGAGCTCGCGAGGCGGCAGTGTCCATCCACGAGGCGTGCGGCCTGAGACGGGGACCTGCGTGCTGTAGCTGCAGGAGACCGAGCTCCAGCAAGGGCGCAGTCCCGAGCTCTGTTGCCCAGGGCTCCAAGGCGCCCCACACACGGACCTGGCACACATAGGGCCCGGCTGCAGATGGACCCTGGCAAGTGTGATGCCCAGCAAGACCAGCTGCTGCTCAGTTAAGCCCTGAAGGAATCCGAGCTTCACGGAGCCCAGATCAAGCTTCGGGACTGCGGAGCTGCACCAAACTCTGAAGGGCCAGCCTGGGCTACTGCGCGTGGTGAGAAGGAAAGTCCCTGAGGAGCCCAAGGGGCGGACTGCCCAGTCGGCGGCCTCCTTGGCTGCTGCCAAAAGACAGTTAGCAGATGAAACTTTGCTTAAAGCAGATTTGGAGAACCATTGTCGGAGCCTTACAGAGGACTTGGAGTTTCATAAAAACAGGCATGAAGAGGGCATTGGTGAGATCAGAGGGAAACGTGAACCGTGCAAGGCAGCAGTGGATCCCGGGCAGCAGATGGAGTACAGTGCACCGGGCTCAGGCCCTCAGCGGGTGGGAGAGCAGGGCGCCCAGCAAGGCTGAAGCAGGAGGAGCTCCAGGAGCAGGAACAAGCCAGGCCAGCATCCTCCTAGAGGAAGGTCTGCTGTCAGCGGGCTGGGGAAGAACTGGTGGAGGTCAGATGAGAATCCAGAGCTGCTCACCTCAGCTTCCTAATCTACAAAGACTGTAGAGCATGTTTGGAAAGATTCCGGGGTTGGAGGACGTGGTGGTTAAATAAAGAGAACTGAGGCTGCATGAAAGAGAGAGAGAGAGAGAGAGAGAGAGAGAGAGAGAGAGAGAGAGAGAGAGAGACAGAGAGAGAGAGAGAGACAGAGAGAGAGAGAGACAGAGAGAGACACAGAGAGAGAGAGAGAGAGAGACAGAGAGAGAGAGAGAGCAAGAGAGCAGATGCAGCAAAAGACAATCCATGTGAAACTAACAAACTAGCCTGCACATGGAAATCAGTGCTCACAGGAACTCAGGAGCCAAGGAGAGAGGGAGCTGCCCTGGGGGAGTCAGAGGTGCACGGGGCCTGGGGTCTCCATCTCCCTCAGCACCTGGGGTGAGCCCTGGAGGAGATACCCGTGGACAGCAAGTTGACTGGCTTAAAGAATACTCCTGAACAGGACCCACCAACAGGAGGCCTGGAGATGATCAGAAACACTGGGGACACAGCAGCGGATTACAAATACACCTCCAAGGAGGAGCTGAAGGCAAGCTGGGTGTTAGGGTTTGGGCTGCAGAGGCCCTGTCACTCCTCTGGGAGAGCAGAACTTGGCCAGTGGTGAGGAAGGGAAGGGCATACTGAGAGGTGCCAGGGGGAGGAGGCAGCACAGGAAGTACAGTCTTTAAACCCCAGCTAAGAGGACAGCAGCGGGGAGCCCCGAGAGCACCCCACAGGAGCTGTGCAGTGCTGAGCTTCTCAAGGCCTCTGTCTTCCTGGGTGTGAGGAGCTGGGGTAACCCTCTCCCAAACACAGTGCTGAGCCTGCTGGGAAGCGCAGAAGAGTCTTCTGTTTCCTTCCTGTGAATTTTTAAGCTGCCAATCTGATGGCCTTAGTTTCTATTCTTTTTGTACCAGGGATCTAACTAAGGACCTCTTACTCGCCAGGGAGTGCTTATGCCACTGAGCTTCCTTTTTGATAGGAGAGTTTTTTAAAGAAATAACATCCACACTCTGTCACAGGCTGTGAATTACTGACACTGAACTCACTGTGCTGTTTGGAGAGGCTCCCTGGAAAGCTGTTGCTTTTCTAGTAAGTGTGTAGGTGTCTGCTGCTCTAAGTTCCTGTGAGAGGGTGAGAAAAAGCAAAGGACTGTGTGTCTGGGCATAAACTGAGTGTGGCTCCCTGGAGGTCAGCAATCTGCTCCGGACTGTTCTCCGCTCTGTGTAATGGTGCTGTGAGGAGGGGAAAGGATATTGAAAAATGCATTCCCATTTCAATATTTTCAATATTTTGAATCTTTGATGCTGAAGGTTTTTGTCATAAGTAGGTGAGGTTACAAATTTTGTTTTTTAAACAGAAAAGAGGCATTTTGTAAGAAGGCAGTATTACCCCAGGCATCATGTGGGCACTGGGATGAAGGGCTCCACAGAGCTGTTCTGTGGTTCTTCTGCTTAGTAGCTCAATTCCTGTGGGCAGTGGGGTGGGCAGGGCGGGGATGAGGGGATGGTTTCGCTGTGAAAACACATTAGTTGTGTTTTTAAATAAGGGTAACATGTTTACATTTGTCATGTGAGACTGACATATAAAAATGCCTTTAATATTAAAATCTTTTTACCTCACATTGAGGAGGAAGGCCTAGAATCTAAGCGTGTGCATGGAATTTAAACAGACCGGCTGATTCTGTGATGAAACATGTCACGTTCACACACAGAGCTGCAGCAGAAGGGCCATAACCACAGTTTCCAGGTACACAGACTGTAAGCTGGACAGGACACCTGGGCTCCAAACAGCCCTTCCACAGACTGTAAGCTGGACAGGACACCTAGGTTCCAAACAGCCCTTCTCCCCAGCTGTGTTACTGTCCCTCACCCTGCTGAGCCAGAAGCAAGGAACCTGATTCCCTTAATCCCTGGGCAGTCTCTGTTTGTCCCTAGATAAGAGGCTTTGGGGAGGAAGATACAAGGCCCTTCCTGCTGTAAGGGAGTTCTTCTAACCTGCTTCCAGGGAGCACCCCCAAGCCTGTTTGGGGTGACCCCTCCCAGTGGCCGCACTGTCACCTGGCTGACTTTCCTGCTGCTCTGCTGTGGACCTGAGGCCGCCTACTGCACACAGCCCATGGCAGTGAGGGGCAGAGCAGCCTGGTGTACCTGCCTCCAACCCAGAATTCTTCCCCTCCTGCTGCTGCCTGGGGCAGGACTTTTCTGTCTATCCTAGGCTCTTGATGACTTCCAGGATTTGCCCTGACAGCTCTGTCTGTTGCTCAGACTGGAGAAAGGAACACACCAAGCTTATGCTTGAAAACTCCTGCCTTCAGTGCTGGATGGCCAGGGCAGGGTTACAGAGCAACGAACTGTGTTACACCAAAGTTAGAGGTCAGCTGGGGCCTGGGACCTGCTCCTGCTGTTGGTTGTGTGATCCCTGCTGTGTTCAGTCAGCCTTGGCTGCCTACCTCTGAGTCTCAACCTTCATATTTAGATTGTTATTACTTTTTATCCTTTTGTTGTCTTTTTTTTTGTTTGAGACAGAGTCTTGCTCTCATAGTCCAGGTTGGCCCTGAACCATGCAGCCCAGGCTGGTCTCTAAGTGGTAGCAATTCTCCTCCCTCAGCCTCCCACCTGCTGGGATTACAGGTGTGTCCCCAGCTTGTTGTTTTTTCTTACAGTCCTCAAGGGCCTCCCATGCAGTCCTAGAGAACACTGGAGCCCAGGCCCTGCTGCCCTCCCTGTATCAAGTCCAGCACCTGTGTGCACCCTATTTCTCTGTCTCCCCCCCCCCCCCGCATCCCATAAAACAGAACAGGACGGAATGTGAGGGACTCAGAGGAGCATGAACGGCTAAACCGCAGGACCCAGGCACCCAGGCTCTGTGCTCAGCGAATGTTAAAGGAGTCGGTGCGGTGCTCAGGCGTGCTGTGTGTGGCCGTGGTCCTCCTGTCCTCCCGTTTTCCCTGAGAACACTGCCCCGCCTGAGACAGCGCCTTGCACAAACTGCTTTCCTTTCCTCGCTTTCCCCCCTTACACTGATATTCTGAGTAAAAGCCTGAGAGTGACCTTGCTGTGCTGGAGTCTGAACACAGCTTCAGTTCGGGTAGGCCCCTGGGCAGCTGACCACAGTCCTGCAACATGGAGCCATACCGGCCAGGGCCTGGGGACAGTTCTCATGGCAGCACGGAAGAAGCTGCTGTTCTGGGAACTGTGACACTGCCTGAGCCACCCCTGCCCACCCTGTTGGCACAGGAGCTGTTGTAGTCAGGGGTCGGGCAGAGAACAACTAGACTCAGGACAGAGAATTTATAATATTGTTTTATGACAGTCACCCAGAGTTAGTGCAAAAAGGGCAGGAAACCTATCCACAATGCTAGAGACAGAATATTCAGCCAAGGGCCCGGATTCCACAGCAAGGATAATGCCTCCCATGAGTCCAGCTAGAGGTCTAGAGCCCACGAAACGCACTCATGCCAGTCTGTTTTATGGGTCCGTGCTGGGAAGGCCCAAAGGTCAGCAGTGGAACCTAGAAATGTCTATGCCAGAGGGGGGAAGGAGCTGCGCTGGTAGGTTGAGGGTTCCACACTGGAGCCAAGAAGTCACACGCACAACAAAGACCAGGGCTGTCCTGAAATGCACAGCAGCCATCCTCAGAGACACAGAGGTCCTGAGCTCCAACAATAAGCCAGCATGATGAGTTTGTCCTGGAGATTAAATGGCATGTCTTCCCCTCCAGAGCCAGGAAGCAATGCTGGTAAGAACCAGAGCTGCCCAAAGTGAACCACAGCCACTCTCACCAACAAGGTTCCGAGCTCCTCTGATGACAATGGTTGTATTCACATTGGGGAAGCTGGTCCTGATGAAGTCAAGGAGAACCAATGGCTCAAACAGCAACACATAGGAGAACCCATAATGCCTAGCTTTTCTTTATCCACATCTCTTTTTATGTTGGCAACTTTCCTCAGGTGGACCATCTAGGATCAGCACCATCCTAATCTAATCCAGCTGGCATTAAGTTGACCAACAGTTTTTAATCCATAACAGGAGCTGAGCAGGAGCGAACACGGGTCAGCGTGGGGACAGGAGTCCTGCTGCCCAGGGCTGACTGCGCCCACAGACTTCCCTGATGCATACAGGAACATGCATACACTCAGAACCATTTGCAGGGAGGTGACTCAGGTGATCTTGAGGTCACAAAGCATGGGCTGGAGAAGCGTGGAGTCCCTCAGGCACCCGCAAGGCAGCTGTCTCACACTACGGGACAAAAGGTTTATAAATTCGGGGCCACGGCTCCACATGGCACCATCCTAAGGAGCTCACTGAGAGAAGCTCTCTGCACACAGGAGGGGATCTAGACATGGAGGCAGGGGATGGAGCTGGGGGCACAGAGAAGCAAAAAGCAGAGACAAGTTACACATGTGCACCAGCTCCCCAGGGTGAACACAAACACGGGGCACAGCACCCAGGTCCTGACAAACACTAACAGAGGAGCCCGCTGCTCACACACAGGGCTCACAGTCCGACAGGGACCCTGCTGTGTCCCCTCTGCCTCAGCCCATCTCTCCCACTTCAGGCCCCCCGGGGTCTCACCTTCTCCAGGCATGAGAGAGGAATCAGAGCCCTGGGCACTGTCACCTCCTGGGGGGAAAATATAACACGACATGTTCAGAGCCCAGCAGACATGGAGATGGGGATCATGAAGTGGGGATCCCATGGCTCCTGCTACAGAACCCCAAGGCTCTCAGGAATCAGCCCCCCATACTTACTTGCAGCCTGACTGTAGTTCCCTCCATTTGCTCCTGTGGGAAGCAAATGTCCTGTGAGAAGCCAGGGAGGAGGCAGGGCCTTGACACGATTTAAGAACTGACTAGCCTGGAGCCTAGGGAAGCTTCCAGAACTGGATACAGACCCAGGGAAGGGTCAGGAGGCAGGAAGGGAGGACATGTTCAGGACCAGCACCCACTGCCTTCCTGAGGATCTGTCCTAGCAGGGACTTTCCCCTCTGACCCTGCCTGCTAGGAATCAGGTACCCATCGACACAACTCTCTGGGTAACCAATCTGTCCCTCACTGTCCCTGTGTTTCACAACAGGCTCAGTGTTTAGGGCTCCGGGCTGGACAAGCACCTGTGTAGGCTGGGGACATCCCACAGCACGGAGAGATGCACTTCTCCCTGGGGCTCAAACAGGAAGAGGCTGACCCCACCCCTACCTGCTCTCTTCCTCCTCCACACCACAAAGAGAACTCCAGTGAGCACAGCTACAGGGAGAATCACAGCAGCAATGACCCCCAGGATGGGGATGGAGGGCTGAGGAGGAGACTCTGGGGAGGGAAGGGGAAGGAAAGGGGGAGAAAAGAAGGAAAGAGGAGGTGAGGGGCTCTGCTTGTATCTAAGTGGACCCCAAAGCCTCATGCAAATGTGGGCATTTGGAAGCTGACTGCAGTGTGGGGCTCAGAGCTGACTTGCTGTTAGGAGGTGGGGTCTGGGGGAGAGGGGCCCACTGTGGGAGTGGCTTGGTAGGGTTTCTCTCCTTCCTCAGCGCCCACATTGCTCTCTCTGCTTCCTGTCTGCCCTGCAGTGCAGCCTGCCAAGAAGCTGACTCTTGACTGGAACATCTACAAACCTGGGAGCCAAAACAAACCCTTTTTCTTGAACTTGCGGGCATCAGGGATTGTGTCCCAGCAATGACACAGTGAGTAAGACAGGGCCTGAGCCCAGCTCTCCAGCCTGTGCCATTGAGGGTCTCCAGAAGACTCCTGCATTCAAGACAAGAGCTCTGGTGCCCTCTGCCCCCTGCCTTACTTTCTTATTGCTGAGACAAAGTACCCCACTCCTACACGTTATAGGGGGATGGTTCGCTTCAGATCAGTTTGTAGAGGTCCCAGTCCACTGGAAGCAAGGCAGGGAGGCCTGGCAGGGCCGTCACAGAGGACAGACAGTCCATGGCAAGGCAGGCAGGAAGCAGCAAGCAGCAGCCTCCCCTCTTCACTGCATTCAGGCTGTGAGGCTGTCGGTGGATCCCTCTCACACCCAGGCTGGGTCTGCTGTCTTCCCTAATCCACTCAGCCACACCCAGAACAGCAGAGTGATCCAGTCATCACACCCTGCACCCAGGGTCACACACCTGTATACAGCCACCTCTGACAAACCCCACCTATGAGCATGAGGATTTGGGTTATCTAGACATAAGGCATAACACCCCCCTTACCCCATTTCAGGGTGAGGGGCTCAGGCAGCCCCTTATGTTCCACAATGCACATGTAATTCTCTTCCTCTCCAGAAGGTACCACCACAGACACCCACTTCTGGAAGGTTCCATCTCCTGCAGGCCTGGTTTCCACCAGCTCCATCTCCTGGGTCAGCTCCTGCCCATCCCGCTGCCAGGTTAGGGAGATGTCCTTAGGGTAGAAGCCCAGGGCCCAGCACCGCAGGGTGACCTGTTCCTTGGAGATGGGGTGGCGGCTCACGTGTGTCTCTGGGGGATCTGAGGGGAAGAGGGGAAGTTTTAGGCTCTTTGCATTCTTCCTGGTCACTCTAGCAAAGGCTCCTGTGACCATCCTGAGAACCTTAAGGACAAGTGGAGCTGGGAGATTGTAAGCCCCTGAGACCAGGCTGGAAACCGGTATCTGGCATGATCTATTCCTCAGACAGTTCTAGAATCGGGGTGAGCTGGCCCAGGGAAAAGGCTCCAGGTCTCTGCAGGAGGGAAGAGACCTCTACCCTGAGGTGGAGGTGGAGACTGAGAGGCCAGAATAAGCACAGTCAGAGCTCCACAGACACTGGGTGTGGGGCAGAGAACAAGCCTGAGAGAGTTCAGGGTCACAGCCTCCTGAAGGGCAGGGTGAGCAGAACCTCAGGGATCTTCCCCTCCTATGAGGGACAGACTCTTCCTCTCTTGAGAGAAGGGGGCTCAGGGGAGCCATCTGCTACCAGTTGTGCAATCTCAGTGGCGCTCTTCCCCAGGACAGGAGAGGGCAGCAGTACTGGGGAAGGGTCCGGTTTTCCTCCCTGGGACACACCTGTCCAACCAGAGCTCAGATGGGGAGGTCCGCAGGGCTGGTACCTGCTCGCTGCAGCGTCTCCTTCCCGTGCTCCAGGTGTCTGCGGAGCAACTCCACGCACTCCCCCTCCACGTAGGCTCTGTATCGCTCTGCCTTATGGGCCTCTACCCACTTGCGCTGTGTGATCTGAGCCGCAGTGTCCGCAGCCACCCAGGTGCTCAGGTCCTCGGCAAGGGCGATGTAATCTTCCCCGTGGAAGCCATACTGCAGGTATCCGCGGAGGAAGCGCCCATCCAGCCCCACCTCGCAGCTGCACATCCCCTGGAAGGTGTGAGAACCTGGCCCCGCCCCCGCCGTCAGCCCCGCCCTTGCCCCGCCCCCTCCCCGAGATTTTCTCCCAAAACTAAAATGAGGTGTTTTTTTTTTTTTTTTTAAATCGGTACCGGGGATCGAACTCATGACAGCCTGCTTGCAAGGCAGGTGCTTATGGATTGAGCGAAATCCTCAGCCCCAAAACTAAAATGAAACTGACTCGTGGTCCCCTTGCTTCCCCAGGCAGGGTCTCCCGGTGAACCTCGGACCTGGGCACCCGGGACCATTCGGATCCTCCGTGGGGGCGGGCAGGGGCGGTGACCTCTGACCCGGCCGGGGTCACTCACCGTCCCCGCTCTGGTTGTAGTAGTCGCGCAGGGTCCGCAGGCTCACTTGGTAATCCTGTGCAAGGATCTTGGCTCTCTGTGTCTCTCGGTCCCTGTATGCCTGATCCACCTGCTCCATCCACAGCGCCCGCGGCTCCATCCTTGGATCCCCTGCGTCGCTGTCGAAGCGCACGAACTCCGTGTCGTCCACGTAGCCCACGGAGATGAAGCGGGAGTCCCCGCGTCCCGGCCGGGACACCGCGGTGTGGAAGTAGCGCAGGGAGTGGGAGCCTGCGGGGCGGGGCGGTGAGACCGCGACCTCCTCCCGCGCGGGACCCGGGTCCCGGGTGGGCGGGAGAGGAGGCGAGTGCGGGGCTGTGGAGACAGAACAGGGGCATCGGAACCAGGGCGGCGCCGCGCTGGGTCAGCAGGGGGCCGGAGCCGGGATCTGGATCAGGCTGGCCCAGTGGAGCCCGGGTCTGGCCGCGGAGGCGGAGAGCGGCTCCCGGTTCCAGCGCCCCAGCCACGCGGCCCTCCCTCCTCCCCGCCTCCTCCGTCCCGCACTCACCCGCGCAGGTCTCGGTGCAAAACAGGATCCCTGGGAGCAGCAGGAGAACGGTTTGGGACGCCGTGGCCCCCGGCCCCGGAACTGACATCTTAGAATTGGTCATTTTTTTTTTTTTTTCTTGTTTTGAGACTGGGTCTCCTGGCTCTTAGATCAGGCTGGCCCGGGTCCCCGGGATCCCTCTGCGTCAGACCCCGGAGCGCAGGGATCTACCTGCGAGCACCATTACGCCTGGGTACTTTATGATCTGTGCTAACTTTGACAAATTAGAGGAAGAAATGTTTTCTGGACGGTGATTGGCTTCTCGGTTAACCCAATAGGCAATGAAAGCGAGTGCTAGCTTGCACCACGGGTGATCCGGCAGAAAGACCTGACTTCACGAGCCCTGCCTTAACAACGCCAATATCCGGGCAGAAGGACCTGACAGTTGTGATTAGAAAATACACCAGGCGTGGTGGTTCCAGCACTCTGGAGGCTGAGGCAGGAGAATCGTTGCGAGTTTGAGACCAGCCTGGGCTACAAAATGAGCCCAATTGCAGCCTGAACAGCATAGCTAGATCCTATCCCAAAAAGACCAAAAAAAAAAAAAAAAAAAAAAAAAAAAAAAAAAAAAGGCACTGCGGCTCCCGAGCGCCACCCAGCGCCACCAACGCAGCTCCTCAAACAGTGCAGACACAGCCTCAGATCTGGAGCCCTGAGCCTTCCAGCTGTTCCCGAGCTCAGTGACCAAGAAAAGTAAAGGTTTCCTATCCATTTGGGGGATCTGGGCGGCAAAGACAGCACGGCCAAGGCGCGCGAAAGGCCTTCGGAACTGCTTCAGAAAGTGGCGGGAATGAGGGGACACTGTCAGAATTAGCCAGGAGACATCCCGAGAGAGCGCGTTTATGTGAGTCATACCAATATGGGTCGGAACAGGCTTTTGGGAAACTGTATTCGTTCGAATAGCGTTAAAATGCCATTACATTGTTGGGAGCCGCGTCTGTGATAGCTCGCCTTGCGCGGCGGACGTGCGGCCTGTGGTAAAGAGCAAAGCCTGAGGTAGATTACCCCTCCCATCGAATATGTTAGTTTCCTGCTTACCGCGTAAACAACCCGCTCAACAATATAGTCTGCCTGGCAACTAATGATGTTAGCCAATCAGCTTGCCTTGCTTACTTTAACATGATTGGACACTGTACCCGTATATATACCGGTGCCACCCCTGGGCGGAAGTAGAAGCCAGGTAGAAGCCCGGAAGTAGAAGCCCAAAAGGAGCCGCGGAGAGCGGACCGGTAGAGGCTTTGGGGCAGACTGAAGCACAGAAGGAGCCGCGGGGAGCGGACCAGAGGAGGCTTCGGCTGGGAGCGATCCCAGGGCAGGCTGTACGGAGAAGGAAAATAAAAAGAAAAGGTTGTCCACTACCAGACTTTGTCGTGTGTCCTTCCTGCCGGCCGGGAGCGGACATCGACATTTGGTGGCCCGCCCGGGGACTGATCACCCCCGAGACGTGGAAGTGGACAACGCTCCAGTACAGAGCTGCGAGACAGGTGAGTCGGGGATAAGCCTGGGCTCTGGGTGGCGCGCACCTACAGGGCTTTTAGACTCCCCTCAGGCTCACGCGTAAGTGGCGGATTCCTTGGGCCTCACGTGGTGAGTAACATATTAAAAAATGGGAAACATGTTAGGTAGCAACACTAAGAGCGAGGGTGGTTGTGGAGAAAGCTCTCAAGAGCTTACAAAAGTACGCAGGGTATTTGAGCAGGCCCAGTCGGGGAGCTCCCGAGAGGGGCCCGTCAAGGGGAACAAGGATGCTAAGGAGGAGGACGGGGCTCTAGCCTCGGAGTCGTCTGACTCCGAGGACGAGGGAAAGTTGAATGGCAAGGGGGCCAAAGAGACCAGCTGTCAGGAGCCTAAGTCCCTCAATAAGGAGTCGCAGGGTTCTTTTCCAGCGTTGCCCCGCGAATTGCGCTCTGCTCAACCTGGTCTGCGGAGGAGTAGAGAGCTCCTGAGCGCTCCCCGGCGCGAGAGGGAGGCGAAGCCTTCCGCCCCACCTTGGGGGCCGTTTCCGGAGGCGATTCCTCGCCACGAGGTGGCCGCCTGGGAGCTCTCTCCCCTTTCGCCAGAACAGGAAGTGATGCACGGGCCCCCATTTTCCGCCCAATCACGGCCGCTGTCTTATGCTCCGCCGCCGGCGGGTCGGTATTTTTACAGGCGGCTTTGGCAGGGGGGACGCTTGTCTCATGAGGTACATCCACCTGGGATAGATAGTGGCCCCTACGAGATATTTCCTGTACAAGTAGCTATGGGCCAGGGACGCAATGTATGGGAGCCTTTTGAGATAAAGCAGATTAGAGAACTTAAAAATGCAGTTACAACCTTTGGGCCGACTGCGCCTTACACCATTGCCATGCTGGAGAATCTGTCTTCTGGGCCCCTCACCCCCGCGGACTGGATTCAGCTGGCAAAGGCGTGTCTGCCCTCGGGTAGTTACACAGAGTTCTCTGCCGAGCAGGCTAAAAAAAACGCCGGTCGAGGAAATGAGGGGCTGGGGATTTAGCTTAGCGGCATAAGTGCCTGCCTTGTAAGCAGGCAATCGCCAGTTCGATCCCTGGTACCAATAAAAAAAAAAAAAAAAAAAAAAAACGAAAAAGATAAAAATAAAAAATAAAAAATAAAAAACAAAAAGGGGGAGTAAGCCAAGGCCTGCCTCCAAAGGCGCGGTTATCTATGACAGGACAATGGATGGGCCCGGATCCAGTGGTCAGCTGGAACCGAGGCGCGGTTTGTGTTTTCCCACAGGAATCGGGACGAGAACCACTGTGGATACCGGAGAGACTGACACGGGCGACAAAGCCCTCGACTGAAGATCAGACCTGCCCTACCGGAGATCCATCACAGACCAACCAACAAGATGAATAAAAATAGCGGTAGCCCGAAATGGACAAGAAGATCCTCAGGCATATGCATGGCTTGCTCAATTGGCCCACGACTGAGTCTAGATATGGCGGGCATCCCTCATTCTCCTCCATAAGGTGACAATACACAGCAGGGTAGGTGAGTCAATGACGGGTAAGAGCGTGCCTCCCCAGCACGACTCGACCTAAGCCAGGCCCTACCCCATCCTGCACGTAAGCCGCTGGACTGTTAGATGCTGCCCAGGTCTAAATTTCTCTCCGAGGGGATTTCTTTACGGAGAGGAAATGAGTGCAAGCTTGTGTGCATCCAGGTTCCGTCCAGTTTGTGCCTGGCCCTAGAAAAAGGACGAGGGCCTCAGGGCCTTGGCAGACCATGGCATGGCCAACCAGGGTCTAAGCCAAGGACCTACGGTGGGCCTACACATAGGGCATAAGCCTCTGCACCCAGTCCAGGAAGGGCTACGATACACACATTCATAAAAAATAAAATAGGGGGAGATGTTGGGAGCCGCGTCTGTGATAGCTCGCCTTGCGCGGCGGACGTGCGGCCTGTGGTAAAGAGCAAAGCCTGAGGTAGATTACCCCTCCCATCGAATATGTTAGTTTCCTGCTTACCGCGTAAACAACCCGCTCAACAATATAGTCTGCCTGGCAACTAATGATGTTAGCCAATCAGCTTGCCTTGCTTACTTTAACATGATTGGACACTGTACCCGTATATATACCGGTGCCACCCCTGGGCGGAAGTAGAAGCCAGGTAGAAGCCCGGAAGTAGAAGCCCAAAAGGAGCCGCGGAGAGCGGACCGGTAGAGGCTTTGGGGCAGACTGAAGCACAGAAGGAGCCGCGGGGAGCGGACCAGAGGAGGCTTCGGCTGGGAGCGATCCCAGGGCAGGCTGTACGGAGAAGGAAAATAAAAAGAAAAGGTTGTCCACTACCAGACTTTGTCGTGTGTCCTTCCTGCCGGCCGGGAGCGGACATCGACATTACATGTTGGTGCAGGTCCTGAGCATCTCCTTCCCTGGCGCCTCTGATCCTTCCCTGGGTCTGCATCCCCGTTCTGGAAGCTTCCCTGGGCTCCAGGACTGAAGCGATCCTCTGGACCCTCATTACTGTCCCTTCTCCCTGGCCCCTCTCACCTGTTCCTTCCTGCAGGTACACAGAAGTGGAGCTACACAGAGACCAACAGTAAGTGTGAGGAAGGGGGATCCCAGGAAGGCTTTGGGTGTCGTGGACAGGAGCCATAGGAGCTCGCTGCCCCACGACTGCTCCTTCAGCCGGGACTCCCTGATCTCTGACCATGTTCTGCTTTTGTCTTGCTGTGTGAAGGAGAGACCACAGCTCTGAATCAGCTCAGTTCTCTCAAAGGATGAGGCTCATGGGTGTGAAGTGCGAAGCGCCTGCAGGGCGGGGCTTGCCGGAAGAGGCGGGGCTTGGCCCGAAGGGGCGTGGCCCGAAGAGACCTTCACTGGGGCAGTGCCTTACAAGAGTCCATCCTTCCTTGGCTGGCTACTTGCTGGCCACGACAAGAGCACCTTTGCTCTGCACCGACCCTCCACCGAGCCATTTCTGCAGGAAGCCAGCTGACCAAGGACTGTGCTGTGGCTTAGCTCTCCTGCCCCACCTCCACCCAGGGCCTCCTGCACTCATAGGTGGGGCTTTGGGGGTGGCTGGATCATGGCTGCAGCACACTGGGTCACTCCGGTGACTTTTTAAAGGTTCTAGGTGTGGGTGCTTGGTTGAATGAAGAGGGAAGAACCATCCAAGGTGTGGGTGGCACCAACCAATAGGACTGAAGCTTGAATTAAGCAAAAAGAGAATGAGGCTCCTGTCTGCCATCCCACGAACCGTTCTCCTCTCCCACATCCCTCTGCCGTGCTGCCCTGCCTTGGAGTCAGCCAAGTGTAGAAGACAACCTGGGCACCTCTCCTTGAATGCAGAACGGTGGCTTCAGCTTTAGTTAAAGGAAGCCTTGGATCAAAGCCTTTGTCCTGTGACTCCTCACTTGGATCTGACCTAGGACCCCTTGGCTGCCCATAACTTTGAATATATCTTAGTGTCTTTACTCTTGCCCTGGGTTGCATTGGAGGTGGTATATTCGGATTAACTTTCTGGATTTCCAATTGGCTTCTATGGGATTATAAATATAACTTTCTGGATTGTGAGGAGGACCAGAGAAGAGATTGCAATATTAGGGTTACAGAGCCTGTATACAATCCCAAAACTTGGGAGACCGAGGGGGAGGCTGAGGCAGAAGGATCGTTGCGAGTTGGAGACCAGCCTGGGCTACAAAGTGAGCTTAAGTCCAGTCCACCCTTCATAATTAGACCCTGTCTCAAAAACACAAAAATAAATTTTTTGTATTACAGTATTTGGTGCCCCACATGGGGCACAAGCCCATCACCCTGAGATTAAGAGGATTAGATTTACCAGTATCTTCTCACATTCATTTATTGAGTGGGAAACCAACTTTAATTCCTACAGGGGTCTATCGGCCTCCACCAGAAGCACTTGTGGGATTTATCGTAGGAAAATCAAGCTTAATTCTCAAAGTCTTACAGTTCCAACTTTAATACAGGGTGATTATCATCAAGAAATGTTGGGTGCAGTTCATTCCACTGACATTTGGGTGATCAAACCTGGTGACCTGAGGGCACAGATCTTACTTTTCCCCACAGGTCAGCTGCCTCCTGCTCTCTATCCTTCATGGAAATATAGTACAGATTAGTCCTTGAGCAAGGAAATTTATTTTTCCAAAATGTCCCAGTTCATGCACCTGCCTGTGCTGTTAAATTGAATGACATACCTTTTGCTGCTTTGTTAGACACAGGAGCTGGCATCACAGTAGTCAGTAGCCAACTCAGCCATCCAGTTGGCCAACTAGACTCGCCTCCTCAATCCCGATAGACCTGGGATTCTAGTTGTGACTATCAGAACGAATGGAAAAGAAGAATCTAATTTTGTATTCATATAGCCCAAGAAATATTATTTTAATCAAGTAAAGCAATACAATTGGTGCTATAACTGACCTGTGTAAAAGAATTAATTTCACGAAGGTTTCAGCAGGTCATTTTAAATAACTTTTTTTTGTCTTTTTCAGACAGGGTCTTGTTACAGAGTTCCGGCTAGACTTGAGCTCCCTTTGTAGACTAGGCTGGTCTCAAATTTACAGTGATCCTCCTGCCTCAGCTTCTCAAGTGGTGGGACTGCAGGAATGAAGCACCACACCTAGCTTAGCAAATATAACTTTTTTCATTTAAAGAGAAAAAAAAAGGGGCTGGGGATTTAGCTCAGCTGCATAAGCGCCTGCCTTGCAACAGGCAGTCATGAGTTTGATCCCTGGTACCGATAAAAACGAAAAAGATAAAAAAAAAAAAAGGAAGGAAATAAACAAAGCAGTAAAAAGGTACGAATAATACACAATTTCAAGAAAAAAATACAGTAAGAAATCACTAGTTAATAGGTTACATATTGTCATCTTAGAAACAGTTGTCCAAATTATAAAATTAAAGCATGTAAAGTAGACATTCATAGAGTGAAATTGGAGACAGTTCCATTCCATGATCCAACAAAAGCTCAGTAATATGGTTTTCCATCCTACACACTCAAACATACGTGCAGTTATATTCCTTAGACCACCTTCCTTTCCTGTCTTTTTTACAATAACAATTACACTTTTTGGGTTTTACTACTCCCACAGTTCTTATTACTTTTTTTTGAAGAGAATATAACCAAACGTGACTAAACAAAACAGAGTCAGTTAGAACAGAAGGGTGGACATAGTGCATGATGCAAAAATGGAATACCAGGTGATCAAAAGTGGTTACCATTGTGCCTCTTGCTATTTTTAAAATGAGTTGCCTCTATCATCAGGTATAATAGAATTGATCAAAACAGTACAGAACAAGACCAATAAAACCTACACTGGAGACATTACAGGAGTTCAAAAAAGAAGCAAATATCATTTTTAAAGGCATGTGCCTGCATTAGTTTTCAGCTATGAAGTTGGAATAGTGCTGGGTTTTGTTTAAAGGTCTCCCAAGGCCTCATGCAGTCATGGAGGTAGCTGAGTCTAGCGTTTGTGATTGGCGCTTTGTCTAGGGCTGGGATGGCGGTGTGGGTGCTGCATCCACCCAGGGTTGGGTAAGGGACATACAATGGAAGGGAAAGAGCCACGCGCCTGCCTTTGTACCCTCTTGGCTCTGGCCGTTGTGCCCACCAGGAGCAGCTGCCCCTCAGCCACGCCACCTTTTCCCCTTGGGTTTCTGCTCCTTCTTACCCTTTCTGAACTCTCTCTCAGCCCTGGTCTCTCGTTTAGAGGGAAAAGCGTACAGAAGAATCCAGCCTCACGTAAGCACTGAAGTGGAAAAAGGGTTATTTCAATAGCTTTTCTCGAGCGAGGGCAGGTTTTCATCTCTGAGGGACAGGACAGCCGCACAAGTGGCGGCACCGTGTGGTTCCCGGGGATTTGCAGACAGCACGGGAGGGCAAACCAAGCTAATGAGGTAGCTGTCACTTCACTGCCTGGATTTTATGGCCACACACTTGAAATCTGTGCTGGGTTTTGAAATATGCCTTCACCCTGCTGAACAACAGACCGCACACGGAGCTCCTCCTGTGGGCCACTCGGGCCCTTCTCTCAGGAACTCCCTGTTTCTTCTGCCGGCTTCTGTTAGTCCACTTGTTACTTCTGCGACAAGTGGTGGCTTCTGAAAACTTAGCTGTAGGGCTGGGGACGTAGCTCAGAGGCTCGTCAGCTGCCCTGCAAAAGTCCTGAGTTCCATTTCCAAAATGGAAACAACCACCCCAAAACCCCTAAGCTTGGGGAAGCTGTCAATCCTTAAATAGTAGATTTCTAATTTCCAAAAGATATTTTTTCGTGTGTGATTTTAAAATCATATCAGTGCACTTTAGATATACATGATGATGGCAGTCATGGTAGGGAATGTGGACCCAGACCTGTCGGGCTTCTCCTGCCCTCCCCTCCCCTCCCCTCCCCTCCCCTCCCCTCCCCTCCCCTCCCCTCCCCTCCCTTTCCCTCCCCCTCCCCTCCCCTCCCCTCCCTGCAGCCCCTCTTCCCACCTCACTTACAAAGCTTCCTTTCCATTTTCCTTTCTGTTCTTTTTTCCTTGTCTCTTCCTGCCTTTCCCCGCCCCCACCTTGTTCCTCTTCCCATTTGAATATTTTTTTCCCTTTCTCAATATCCGTCATACATTTAGGTACTTATTTATACTTTGGGTTTCTCACACAGAAAAACAAATGATATTTAAACAACATGTGTCCAATTTATTTCATTTAAGTGCATCAGTGACCCCTCACCTGTCATCATGTATGTTTCATGGCTTTATAAACCCTTCTCAGACTTCTATAACCCTTTCCCACACTCTTATATACACATGTTAATATTTTTATGTTGTTTTAAATATTTTTAGGAAAGATAATTAAAACCATAAATATTATATAAATATCTGTGAACTGCAAAATCCCATGATACAGGCAGAACTCAGTGACGCTGCAACGCGTGAACCACAATATAGCAAAGAACCGAGGTCTCAAAGTGCTTCCATTTACCTAGAAATGCCTCAAGCTTAACCTTCTTCGGGGTAGAGTAGTACTCTGTTGTATTTAAAAAGAAACCCCACAACTTTGTGGTTGTGATGATGGACTTTTGGGCTGTTTTCAAGATTTAGTTATTTTAAATTATTCAGTTATAAACATGAGTGAGCATATATTGCTTTTTTATGGTCCTAGTTCTTCTGAGGACTATCCATGCTGATTTCCACAGTGGTTACAACAGTCTGCAATCCCAGCAATGTAGGAGTTTCTTTTTTCCCTGCATCCTCTCTAGCATTTGATGTTGGTTATTTTCTTGATGATGGGCATTCTTTCTGGAGTGAAATGGAATCTCAGTGTTGTTTTAGTTTGAATCTCAGATGACCAGTAATATTGAACATATTTTGTATATTTATTTCCCATTTCTACTTTGTTATCTGAGAAGTGCTTATTATGTCAGATGCCCATTTATGGATTGTATCTTTAATTGTAGGGGGATGGTCTCATTTTTTTTGAGTTCTTCATATATTTTAGATGTTAGAGCCAGGGATTCAGCTCAGTGGCATAAGTGTCTGCCTGGCAGCTGTGATGTCACGAGTTCGAGCACTATACAACGTACAGATACAGAATCTATCTATTTCAGATGTTAGTTGTTTGTCTGAGGAACGAACTGTGGGCAAAAAATGTTCCCCACACTGTGTGTTGTCTCTTCACTCTGTTTGTGGTTTCCTTTGCAGTGCAAAAGATTTTTAATAAAATGAGATTCCAGTTGTTGATTTTTTGTGATATCTCCTTTTTCAGACTACTGTAGTTTTTCAATATAGCAAATACGCAATAAAATGAAAAAAAGAAAAACTACTCTCCCTACCCCTCCACAAAAAACAAGAGAGAAAACAGTCCACTTGCAGGTTTGCCCCTGGTGTCACTGGTAAACAACATGTGGAAACAGTGGCAGATCCGTGTTGATTTACCCCAGCAAGCGAGCAGTAGCTGTATGGTGGGCAGTGGGTAACCTCAGTGAGCCTGTGCCTCAGTTTCCCCTGAAGTTTTCCCAGCCAGCTCACCTTCTGTGGATTTGAACTCGCAGGGAGCCACTAGATGGACCCAGCAGCTGTCCTGAGTTCCGAGCTCAGCCGGCCCCTCCTAGGTGGCCCCAGGATATTGCTGTCTCCCTCAGGACAACTGAGCCCTCAGCACCTACCCCCCGCTGGCGCAGTCCTTCATGTCTACTGCCCCCTCTACTGCTGCATCTCTCTGGAAGCCTCTGGGGTGGCCAGCTGTGGCTGTGTGTCTGCAGGTCTGAGCTGCTCCCCAGGAAGTGAGTCCCGAGTCAGGAAACACACGGCCTGCCCCCGCCTTCCTCTTTGCTGCAGTCCTCTCCTCACTGCCCCTTGGGATCCGTTCCTACCTCGGGTCCTCCTGGGTGCAGGCGCCCACTTCCCCTCGTGTCTTCCTCGTGTTGCTGTATTCCACACCTGGACAGCAAATCTCAGAGAGGGCTTTCCTGTGCTGCTCACCACGCCTCTGTTTCCTGCAAGTCTATCATTTTCATGGTGTTCTTTTAAATTTTAAAGCGAGTAAAACAGAACAGTAAATCGAATCAAAAGGGTGAAAGGAGAGCAGGAGATGGACACCTATTTAGAATATCGGCCCCTGATATTTATCATTAGGGCAGGGCTGCATGTGTTTTGTCTTTTGTCTTGAGATCTGGCTGACAGAGGGAGGTGTTTGTTTTTCCCCACAGTTGCAAGGCATCTGGTCTTTTGCCCTGGCTCCTCTGAGGGCGCTGGCCTGTCTGACTGCTCTGCTATTCTTGTATAACCCAGCTGCCTATGCCACTCCCCTCTGAAAAGTACCCTGAGCTGCTGTGAAGCAGTAATGGGCGATGACCGATCGGGCTGTTTCAGGCTGAAGGGGTCCTGGTTGTTGATGGGCAGTCAGTGATACTCTGCAGAGGGTCCATCTGAAGGCCCTCAACAGAACAGGCATTTTCATCTTGGGGGCTACAGCTTTAAGTCTGCAAGAGACAAAGTCAAAGAATCAATTAAGTTTGCATGGGTCAAATAATAGAATCAACAGGATAAGTATGAGTACAGCTGACAGAGATCTCCACCAAGAGCAGCTGCTAACGGCTCCCCATAGGCAGGAGAAGGATAAGGTCCTGGGAATTTCAGAGTCTGATGTGTCATTGATTTGTCTCCTAATGTCTTGAACAGCCTTTGAGACATTAGCAGGACGCCCAGGAATGTTCACACAACATTCAGATTTACACTGGCACCAGTGCCCCCATGCTGCTGTTAGAATGTCTAAAGCCATCTGAGTTTGGAGGGAGGCCTGTATCTTAATTTTACTTCATTTATCAGAGAGAGACCAGGTGCTGTGTCTTTTAAGGCCTGCTAAGTCTAATTAAGGCCTCAGTGGGTGACATATAACTTTTTCTGGAGAAGATCTGGAGGATCCCAGCAAAAGCAATCTACCATATTTTGTACTGGTTTTCTCTGTATGATTACTTGGGGTTTGGCATCCTTTAAACAAGAACAAATTTTAATCAAGGCACCATAATCAAAGTATGTTCACAGAGGCAGGTATCATCAAAGCATGAGCATTACAGCTGCCAGGTAAGTTTAGAAATGGCAGCAGTTGTAATCCCCTGGCTCTTGTGTGCCTTTATTGATGGAGGCTGACATTTTGTCATAAGCCCCTGTAGCTTTAGTTATAATTATCTCTTTTTGATGACATATTAAGAGTCAGATTAATACATTATTTTGATCAGTGAAAATCTCGCCTAAGTTTCTGTGTATGGACAGCGATAGCGCTGTATTTGTAAAAACCAGTCTCAGCATCATTGATTAATTGGCAACCTGGATATATATGGCATTTAGACAGGAGAAAATCTCCAACGATCTCGGGGGAAGATCTCCAGGTGGCATAGGGTGTCTTAGTTACCTTTTACTTGTGGTTGAGACAAAATAACTGATGCTCAGAATTAGGGAAGCAAAGGTTTATTTTTTGTAGTTCTTGGAGATTTATAGTCCATACTCAGCTGGCTCCAAGCAGCAGGGTGGCAGGGTGGGGCTGCCCTTCATGGCTGGCTGCAAACAGCAAGGCACAAACTGGCAAGAGAGAGAGAGACACCTTCTTCCCGATGTTACTTCCTAGGATGGCACCAGCCTGGGGCAGGTGCAGCACTCACACCACCAATCCGAGCACTGGACAAGGAACCGATCACAAGCGCTAGATTTGGAGGAGTCCATAATTGCATGAGCCCTCGGGGCCACTGACATAAACCAGACATAGGGAAGGAAACTCCCGACCTACTAGATGTCTGGCAAGAGTTTGTATTCTCTAAAATTGAAGAATGAATTTTAGGAGCAACAGAGGTTAAGAGCAGAATATTGCTATTGAGAGAAAAAGCGTCTCTCTGAGAGAGACAGAAGGGGTCCCCCGTGGATCACCTCACAGGCTGCTCTTTTACTTCCTTAAAGTTAATACTGAAGAATCTACAGCTCACTTGGAAAATGATTGATCAACATTCCAATGAAAGTTGGAATAGAAAAGTGGGAGTGTCAAATAAATAGGTTAGTAATAAGTATGAAAAAACTAAAATGTGAACCAAGAAATGGAAATAAAATTTAAAATCTATCAGCTCAACAAAGTTGAAAGTAAATGATGACAGGATTGAGAGGAGTATGTGGAAAATGCTTTGTTACAAAAGTTGACGGTGTTAAAATGGGTATAAATGGCCTGGGATTTAGCTCAGTGGCACAGCACCCACCTGGCAAGCCTGAGGCCCTGAGTTTGATTTCTGGTACCAAAAAAAAGGTATGACAATTTCAAAGAGTAGCTAAAGAATATTTCCCCTACCTTCTTCATGTTCCCATTCCCCATCTTCTGCTCTCTCTCTCTCTCTCTCTCTCTCTCTCTCTCTCTGTCTCTCTCTCTCTCTCTCACTGTAAGACAACACTGTGTGGCCCAGGTTGGTCCCCAACTCCTGGACCCAAGAATTTCTTCCACCTGTGTCCCTAGTGAGTAGTGCACGACACACACACAGTGTGACTAGCATAATTTTCTATTTTCTTTTCAGAGACAAGGTCTTGGTCTGCAGTTCAGCCTGGTCTTGAGCTCACTGTGTAGCCTAGGCTGGCCTTGAAGTGATGGTGATCCTCCTGCCTCGGCTTTCCAAGTGCTGGGATTTAAGTCATGCACCATCACATTCATCCACAAGATTTTCTCTTTAATAGAGGAAAGTATAGCACCAGGGTTTAGCTCAGTGTTATAATCACCTGTCTTGCAAGCATGTGGTTGTGAGTTCGATTTCTGATAATAACAACAAAAATGAGACAAGAAACTATACATGTATTTTCCAAAAAAGGTAATAAAAACATTCTTTGACTTATGTTTTCCAAAAAAAAGAATGGAAAAAACCTAAGTGTTACAATCAGTACAATAAACTATGAAAAATGGAACAGTCGAATGTCTCAGACAATCACGCTGTGTGCTGAGTGGGTCAAATGTGACCTCCAAGCCAACCCCGAGGACCTCAGCATGTGATACTTTGTACAGACAGCGATGAGAGACACAGAGCTGAGGAGAGGTGAGCGGGGATGAGACCCGGAAGGTTCTCTCAGGGAGCCGCTGACTGGTCCTGCACTGATGCTCTGGGCATCAGAACGTGGGTGTGGCTGTGCCCTCCCAGAAGTGGAATGTTCTGGAACATTCTGTGAGGGGGCGTGGCTCTGAGTGCTCAGGGGACATCAGCGACTTCACACCCCGTAAGGCCCATGCTCCCATGTAGGTTTCCAGGCTCTGCTGGGTCCAGAGCTCATCCCGAGACTCTGACACAAGATGAGCTAAAGCCGAGTCCAGGGACAGAAAGCTTTCATTGTTCTGAACCAGTGAGCATTTCTGAAGAATCGCCATGGTAAACGTAAATGTCATTGTGAATTACGAGGGCCAATTTCATGGGACCAGGAAAGCAGATAACAGGGAGGCTCAACAGGTCCCCACCGCAATTATTAATAACATGTAAAAGACAAAGGAAAGGTGGGGCATTGTTAAACCCGGAGACATCTGGGTAAAGCTATGTGCAGGACAAAGAATGACCTTTGGAAACTGAAACTATAATCACAGAACAATAGATACTAATAATGTAGGAGCTCAGGTGGAATACAAAATTAGTAAAACCTGGAAAAGTGATTGCAAAGAGGAAAGAAAAATTAGGAATATTGTATTCAGTCTGGGAATTTCAGCAACATCATCACAAGAAGTCTTACATGGTGTGGGGAACAGGAAATTGTTAAAAATAATTCAAAACTATTTCTCAGCATTAGCAGAAAAGGTCCGATGTGAATGGGCCTGACCGAGTTCTCACTGCCTCAGAGCCTGGCTGAGGACAGCGTAGAGGACGGGAAGGCTGCTCAGAGAAGACACTGAGCTCAGCCACCACGAGGCCAGGAGTCCGGGGGCCAACCACAGGGAGAGTCAGGGAGGAGAACAGAGCCACTGGGCTGAGGATCCTCAGGCTTTTACTTAGAAGTCAGCGTAAGGAAAGCAGGGGAGCAAAGCGGTCTGGGAGGCAGCTGTCTCAGGCATCAGGACGGGGGTGAGGCTGTGCAGGCCCAGGCCTGGAATGTTCTGGAACATTCTGGGGAAAGGGCAGGAATGGTGGCCAGACCCACAGCTTCGGGACCCAGCCTCGTTTAGGTGTTTGTTGTTCACATAACCTTTGTGCTGTGTCCCAGAGCTTTATTATGTTTTGTCACCAATTCCACAGTTTAATGACTCGTGTGCTTTTGTCCCACATTTTAATCACAGCATTGCAAACTGTGAAACTACAATTGCAGGGCGGCCTCCTCCTCTCTCTGCTCCCTGCTGGTACTGAGAGCCCTGATTCCAGGCTGATGGGAAGGCTGCTGACAGCCAGTCCAATTGGAAAGGTCACATTCCGAGACAGGAAAGAGAAGAAAAGATAAAAAGAAAAGGAAAAGAAACATCTTAAAATCAAGTGGCCACTACCAAGTTGGTTTAAAAAGTTCATAGTGAGTAAGCAAAAATATAAAGAAAGTTGTAGGTATACGAGACAGACTTTCATGGGAGACTTTGTGTGATCAAAATTTTTTCCCTACTAGAAGAACAGATCATGACAGAACTGGAAGGCTCAAGTATGTTGAAAAAGGCTTTTGGGGGATACAGTTTCTACAAAGGAACCTGCAGGTTCAGTCATTTTAAGCTTGGCTCCTTGTTGCTCAGAGAAGATTCGGGGCTCTGGCCCTGACTATGCACTGCTCCCGCCCAGATCTCAGCTCTTCTCTGGTTGACAAAAGCTGTCACTACCATTTTTGCACTTGGTACTAAACATGAGTGTTTTTCTGCATGATTAGCAGAGACACCTAGACTTGACAAAGACAAAAACAGGACAAAGGGCCGGAGACTTAGCTCAGTGGCATAAGTTCCTGCCTGGCAAGTGTGAGGTTGTGAGTTTGATCCCTGGTAGCAAAAACAACACACAACAAAACAACAGGACAAAACTGCCTCCTGGGGCTGTTCCAGCCTGATGTGTGACACTCACTGCTGACTTCATGGTGTATTAAATATATTAAATATTGTTTCTCAAATGTGTAAGTCTTCAAAAGTCCAAAACTAAAAAACATCCTAGTGGTGACATCTAGGCTGAGATTATTTATGATGATGAACTTTTAAATTCAAATGTCTGGCTTATCCTTTACTTGTTTTTCAGCTATTTGTGACAGGACATGTGCAGTGTAAGGTGACACCGCCAGCCGAAAAATGCAAACAGATTTTCAAGGCTGATGCTTAAATGATCACAGGTGTATGTTATATGTTTATGTTGGAACCCTCGAAGTGCTCAAGCACTGTACACTCTAAAGAGCATCACATAAAATACATCTCTGGACATGAACACTGTCCTTAGGTCACACTCTGTTAAACTATGACAGTTCTCGGTAAAACTGTCTTCATGTCACTTAATATGATGCTGTCATCATGGCTGTTATGTTTGGGTTGATCTCAGGTTTTTTCTACAACAAGTTATCATTGTTCTGACCAGGTAGTGGTCTCGGTACTGGAGGACACTGCCCATTCCTTGCACACCTTCCTCCAACTCTGCCTGCTGAGCCTGGCACTGGCACCCTCACAACCCCACGAGACAGCAGGCCATTGTAGAAGGAGCCAGTGAGCTCCTCAGGGTTCAAGTTATAAAACAAAGAAGGGGGTGGTGGGCCAATAAATAAGACTTTAAATATTTTAAGTTGTGATTCAAAGTTTTCATAGTAGTACTGAGAAGCAACTCAGCACTGAAGTTCAGGAAATGCTGCAAAACACAGGAATTCCCTCACTTCTGAACCTGTCTCTCACAAAGATTGTATAAATTTCTTGCAACTCCAAAAGTACAAAGGTAGGCCGGGGATTTAGCTCAGTGGTTCAAGCGCTTGCCTGGTCAACGCAAGGTCATGCGTTTGATCTCTGGAACTAAAATCACAAAGGTAAAAAGGCTGCCTGTCCTCCTGAGTTTTCTGACATAAACACCTCAAGTAAACCGCGTGATTCCTGGGCTGATGCTCCCACCTCACCTGGCTCAGACGTGGTTAAATGGGGAGACCCACAGTTACCTCTTCCCTCTAATGACGCCTCCCGCTCCTTACGAAGCTGTGGGAGGGCCTGCAGCTGCTGGGCTGTTCTAGTGCTTGGCACCTGTCACCCCACACATGGCATTTCCTGGCAAAGAATTTCCCTTATGTGTGGGTACCAGCTATGTGCCAGCGTCAATGGTACATAGATAATTTTTAATATGTTCATGTAGGGTACGCAGACAAAGAGCCAAAGCTTGGCCCCCACTAGTCTTACCAGAGAACAGATAAAACCTCAGTCCTTGAACACATTTCCTCAGAACACATGAACTCCCCAGAAGGACTGTTTCTGGGACATTCTCACTGGGACCACAGTGATGGGGGCAGCTAGGGCGACCACGACCGCGGTTACCTTAACTCGATGCATTCCAGCTGCTCAGACTGTCGACAGCTGTGCCCAGAATGTTACTGCTGACTCTGAGCTACACGGACTAAAAATCTGAAAGGAACCTGATGCCCTGAAGGCAGCAGCTGCTCAGCAAACATCACCAAGCTTTTGGACACCCGGCTACACAGATGCTGTCACCGCTCTACGTGCACAGTGTCTGTCCCATCTTACCACTCGGAGTCCCTGAGGAAGTGTGACAGCTTTTCCATGGTGTTTCATATGCGTCTGGGTGGAGATCTGACCTCTAACCTCCAGGGCCACCTGGGAAAACAACCTCATAAGTCTCAGTCAGAAGCTTTCAACATCTCCTTGCATTACCTTAATGATCTCACCTACTGCTGGGCAATTCCCCCAAATTGCTTTTCTGGCTTCAACATTCACATTTAGATTCTTATTACTTTTTATCCTTTTGTTGTCTTTTTCTTTTTTGAGGCAGGGTCTTGCTATAGCAGTTCAGAATGGCCCTGAGCTATGCAGGCCAGGCTGGTCTCCAAGTCCTGACCATTCTCTGCCTCAGCCTCCCACGTGCTGGGATTACAGGAGTGCATTTTGATGCCCGGCTTGCTGTTTTTTCTTATAGTCCTCAAGGCCCTCCCTGTGCTGTTCCAGAGGACACTGGAGCCCAGGCCCTGAAACCCTCCCTGCATCAAAACCAGCACCTGTGTGCACCCTATTTCTCTCTTCTTCCCCAACCCATCCTGTAAAACAGAAGAAGAGGGAATGTGGGGGAACACGAGGGAACATCGGGGACCCAGAGGAGCATGAACAGCTAAACGTTGGAACCCAGACTCCCTGCTCTGTGCCCAGCGAATGTTAAAGGACCTCGGTGCACCGGGTGCCGTGTGTGCCCGTGGTCCTCCCACTTTACCGCTTTCCCCAAGAAATCTGCCCCAACTGAGAGGTCGCCTTGCACAAACCACTCTCCTTTCCTCGTTTTTCCCCCTTGCCCTGACATTCTGAGCAAAAGCCTGGGCTCAGCTGCAGGGCCACCCTGGGAGTCTCCCGAGGGCCTGGTGCTCTGGGCTGAGACCTCCCCTCTGCACCCTGTCAGTGACTAAAGAGAATGGGGTGCAGAGTAGTCAGTCACTCACCTGCTGGGGGCAGGATGGATCGTAGGCTGTGACAGCAGAAGGAATCCCAGAGCTTCCAGAGGAAGCAGCAGCAGCAGCAGCCCCAGAGCCCTGAGCACTGAGGGGCAGCCAGCAGTGGTTTCCAAACTCCACGGAACAAGTATCTGTGACACACAATCCTACCTCCAGTCAAATGGAAGTGCCGGCAGCCAAGGTCTTTCCCTCACTGCTGGGCACTGAACCCGGGTCTTTACACGGAGCTGCATCTCCAGCCCTTGCTAGATTTTCACTTTGAGACAGGGCCTGGCCAAGTCACCTAGGTCTCAGGTTGGGCTGGCACCTGCCATCCTCCGGCCTCAGCCTCCCAGAGCGCTGGGAATACGGGCCTAGCTGCCCCCCGCAAGGGTAAAGAGGTTTTTTCAGCTGTCTGGCATCTTACAGTTTTACTTCCTGTGCTCCTTCCTCAGCAAAGCACCAGGTGAAGCAGAAACCAAAGTGACGGAGAAAACAGACAGTGGGGAGGACACGGGACAAGCCGCAGAGGAGGCTCCCGGGAGAGCCCGGGGCTGCCCAGCAGGAACCAGAGCAGGATACCAAGCCCCGGGGTGTGGCCTGCTGCCCAGGGGTGAGGCAGGGCAGTGGGGTAAGAGGAGTGGGGCGGCGGGGAGGGCAGGGGAAGGGGCGGGCCTTGGGGGAAGGGCGGGGCGGCGGGGCAGGGGTGGGACGGCAGCGGCAGAGGGGATGGGCTGCGAGGCAGGGGACGTGCGGGGAGGGGGAAAGGGGCGGGGTGTCGGGGGAGGGGGCGGGGCGGCGGGGGGCGGGGCGGCGGGGGCGTGGACAGGCCTCCCCGTGAAGACAGCAAGAAGACTCCTCTGTGCCCAGGGCATTATGGAGACGTGGAGGGGAGGAAGGATCAGAGATTTGGTCACCAGCACCACAGAGGGGAAACCGAAGGGATGGAAATTAACTCTTGGGAAACTGCAGTCTGGGGCAGGAGGAGCAACAGGGCTGGGCAGCTAGCGGACCCCAGGGAGGACTGAGCCGCCCTGCTGTGAGCGTTCAATGGCCCTGGGGTGGTGGCGCCTGGGAATCTAGAGAGGGTCAGTGCACCTAGGGGGAGGCTGCCAGGAGCTCAGGCTCCAAAACCATGTGGACCACGGATAACGGGGAGAACCGAGGACTCAGTGTTCACAGCCCAGGAGAGAGGAGAGCAGCGGGTTGAGGGGGTGCGGTGCCGTCCTTGGTTCCACATGGATCAGCACAGTGCACTTCGGCTGGGTTTCTGAGGCAGGACCCACGCTGCCCTGGGGGAGTGGATGCCTGCTGACCACAGGGCCCGGGTGGGGCGGGCAGCGGTGCTGAAATGGGTCCTTTTTTCTGAGCTGGGAAAGGAAGAAACTTCACCTGGGAGTGGGGCTGAGAGGAGTAGGAGGAAGGAGAGGGGCAGGGGAGGCTGGGTGGTGAGAGAGGGAGGGGGCCAAGGGGGAATGGGGGGCTGGGTCCACAGACCTTGGGGGGGACTTTGGGGGGGACAGGGAGGGGAGGGGGGAGGGGAAGGAGGAGCAGGGAGCAGGGAGCAGAGCCAGCACTGAGGCTGCAGCCCCGCCCACACAGAGCCGCCCCAGCCCCCGCCTTGCCCTGACCCTTGGTCTCCTTTGAGTGCTGTGCTGCTCCTGCTGCCTCCTTCAGTCCTCCCCGCAGTCCGCAGAGCATCTCCCATGAGGAGGCCGCTGACCATGATGGCTGGAGTCCACGAGGACCTGCACAGTCTCGGGTCAAGTCCCTTGCCCGGAGGACCTCAGTAACCCCTGACTTTCTCTGAACCCCTCAGGATGGGCCGCTTCGCCCTCCAAACCCGGACCAAGGTCCAACCCTGGTTTTTGTCCTGCTGGCCACTGACCACGGATCTGCGCATCTCAGCTGCAGGAGCAGAGGCAGCAGCAGTGGACTCAGGCTGGGCCCAGCCTGCACCCATCGGCGTGCAGGACAGGCTGTGGGCAGAGGGCCAGCATCCTCCATGGGCCTGGCCAGGCGCTGTGTCCCAGCCAGGCTCCCTTCTGCCAGCACAAGCAGGGTCCCCGGGTGGGTGGGCTGCACCTGGCTTTGTGCCTCAGAAGCCTTCATGGGCACAGGCCGGGACGCCTGCCTGCCAGGCTGGTTTCTTCTGCAAGGCCCAGTCTCCTGTGTATGTGGCCTCACTGCCTCGGGGGTTCTGTTGTGCCCAGGTGCCCAGGAGAGCGTTTGGGGTACAGAAAACCCAGAGGGGCTCAGGCCCAGGCCATGGAACTCAGTGCAGCTGGAAAGATAAGGCACTAGGAAAGGGGGACATGGTGATGGGCACTGTGGGCCTTTCTACTGTGACTGCATCAGATCTGTGTCACCCTGGGGACCTGGCCACCCTCCTGCTGTCCATGTCAGTCATTGTCCGATGTCCACTCAGTCTCTGGTTTCAGGGTCCTGTGGTTGTGTAGACCCCTTCCATTGTCTCAGTCAGGTTAATTCCTAGGTAATTTTTGGATGTTACTGCTAACAGAAAACGTGTTCCTAATTTATTTCTCAGTGGGTTCATCCTGATGAATAGGAAAGTTTCTGGTTGTTGATAATGTTTCTGGCTCCTTGGCTGAATTCCTTTATTGGTTCTAGGAGTCTCTGGTGGGATTTTCTGGTCCTCTGTGTAGAGCATCCTCCCCTGTGAGTGAGGACAGCTGGGCTTCTCCCTGTGCTGTGTGTCCTGTTCATTGCTTTCCCTGCCCGATTGCTCTGGATGAGCCTTCAGGTACTGGAGCACACAGGACTGGAGAGAGCCGGAGCCCTTGTTCCTGATTTTGGAGGGAAAGCCTTTTGTTCCCCGCTTTCTAGTGATGTTGGCGCTGGGTCGTCACGTGTGGCTTCCGTGAGCCTGACACCAGGTCCTTGTGTGCCTGTGCTCATCAGGGTTTGCACCGAGGACAGATGCTGGGCTTCGTCCAAGGCTTTGTCTGCATCTGCTGAGATGATTGCATGATTTTTGTCTTTGTTTTGATTTGTGATACCTTACACCTACTGATTTTTTTTAAAAGAGAACAAAACCAAACCAAGTATATAAAAATAAGGCCAATCAAAACAAAATGATGAAAGCAATACATGACTTCAACACCATATAATACAAAATTGACAGTGGCTACCATAATACCTCTTGTTATCTTCATAATAGGTGCCCATATCATATAACAAAATAACATCAAACAAAACCAAAAAGAATAAAATCAAGCAAAAAAAAAAAAAAAAAAAACCATGATAACAGTACAGCACTTCAGAACAAGATTACAGGATCTCAGCAATGGCAACCAGAATGCCTCCTGTTGGCCTCTAAACAGCTGCTCCGCCTACTGGCTTTAGGCTGCTTCAAAGTCAGTCAGTCAAAGCAAGCACTGTTGTGTACTGCAGTTGCTGCCATCCCAGCCTGGGTCCCTCCACATCAGCTGCTGCTTGGGAGGGGCAGTTCTTCTGTCCTGGCCTGAGTGCTGGCTGTCCCATGGGGAAGGGGCTTCCTGGTTCTCCTCTGGCTGGCGCAACTTCTGCAGGCTCTGGAGGGGCTTGGGTTCCTGATTCTCTGTGTGCTGATTTATGTCAGAGCGTGCTTGCGTCTCCAGGTGATGCCAGTGTGGTCAGGACCCATGAGCTTTTCAAAGATTTGTTGTGTTCTTTCTGTCTGTGGCTTGCTGAAGATGTTTTTCTTCTATGCTTATTAAGGAAATTGGTCCTTGCATTGCTTTTATTGTTCAATCTCGCTCCACTCTTGGTGTTCAACTGGCTTCCCAGAGTAAGTGTGGCCGCCCCTGTTCCCTTCAGTCTCACTGAAGAGCTTGAGAGTGCTGGTGTCAGATGTCCTGTAGTTCTGCTAGAATTCTAGGGAGAACCCATCAGTCCTAGGCTGTCCTGGTTGGTGAAGTTTGTACTACTGCCTCAATTTCATGTTTTACTATTACGCTGTTTAGGGTTTCCATGTTTTCGTTCTTTAATTTTGGTAACTCACAAGTGTCTGGGCATTTCTCCATTCCTCTGAGGTCTGCCGAGTGCCGGGAATGTAAGCTTTTGAAGCAGTCTTTATAACCCTCTGGATTTCAGCAGCACTGGTCGCAATGTCAACTTTTTGTTTCTGCTTGCACTGATGTGGATTTCTTCCTCTTTTGGGTACTTTGCCAAAGTCGTTGTCAGTCTCATTGGTCCTTTCAAAGAGCCAGCTCTCTGGTTCACTGATCCTTTGTAGCGCTGTCTCATTGTCACTGAGTTCTGCTCTGTCTTTGTCTTTGCTTTCTATTAACTTCAGATCTGGACACTGTTGCTTTCCCAGGACTCTGGATCACCCTTAGGCTGTGGTTTGTCATCCTGCAGGTCTCTGATGTGTGCGTTCCCAGCAGCACACTCCTCACCTGGGCCTCTCAGTGTGTGTGCTGTTAACCCCAGCAGGGGGCTCTGTCCCTGTGTCCTGTGGGTCTTGTCATGTTGAGCTTCCGCTGTCCTTTGATCCCAGGAAGCTTCTAGTTCCGTGATTTCTTCTCAGACCCACTGACCACTCACTGGGTGATCTAGTGCCGTGATCACACTGCCGTGATCCAGTAGCATGCAGGACACCATTTCAATTGCCTTGTGTTTATTTGGGCATGCTTTGGAGCTAAAAGCTGATATAGTTTAGAAACAATTCAATGCACTGCTGAGATAAATGTGTGTTATGTTATTGGATGAAACACTCTATAGCTCTCTGTTAAGTCCTTTTGTTCAAAGGTGTGGGGTAACTGAATTTCTTTGCTGGTTTTTTCTCTGCTTGACGCAGCTGAGAGGGGGATGCTGAAGACCCTGCTGTGCCGTGTTTGTGTCCTTCAGTGTCCAGGGGTTCTCCTTTCACTAGTTGCAGGGGTGACCATTCCGTGTGTAGATATTTACAGTTGCTATCTCCTGTTGCGTTTCCCCCTTTTCAGCATGGGGGGCCACCTTTCTGTCCTCTGGTCAGTTTCGGGCTGAAGAATGAGGTGTCTGATAACAAAACCTGCTCCTGCCTGCTTCCCAGCTCTGTGTGCATGGGGTAAGGTTCTCCACCGCTTTGCCTTTAGTCTAGGAGCTTATTTGGAATTTTTAAATGTTTTTACTGCACAGTGGACTGGATGGTTTTTCTTCTTTACCCTACTAGTATGAAAAATAAGATTGATTTTCATAATTCAGTAACATTTTCAGCCTGATATAAAACTTACTTAGTCATAATGTGTTACCAGTTGGCTATTTATTATGTATTTATGAGCTGCAGACATGGAGGGCAGACTATATTTTAACATAATTGGTTTCCTTTATAAATGTACATGAAATAGTGAATTTCTCTTTATTTGTTGTCTTTTTGAGACAGGGTTTAAGTATGCAGAGACATACTTGAGCTCACCATATAGCCCAAGCTGGCCTCAAACCTGGTGATCCTCCTGTTTCAGCCTCCTGAGTACTGGGATTACAGTGTGTGCCAGCACGCCCAGCCTTCGGACTATAAATATTCAAGGTGAGTTTAACAAAAGAAAGAGAAAAATGGGATGGGAGAGCTGGGTTAGCCTTGTAGGTATGAAAAAGTTTCCACGGAGAAAACATGGCAGGTTTCCAGTCTTTGGGAGGCTGAAGTAGCTCTGCACAAAGAAATACACAGAGTGT